ATTTTTAAGAAGGCCTTTTTTTCTACTAATCAAAATAAAACCTACAATACAATTTGTTTGGCCGAATACACAATACTTTACAAGAATAGATAAATCTTTGAGTAATTTTACAGATTATTATTAAACATGTGATATATTTAGAAAATTGTTATTAATTTAACATAATTTTTAGTTTTTTATTTTTATTTTCTTTTTTTGCCATGGTGGCAGAATGGTTAGAATGCAGTACTGCAGGCTACTTCTATTGACCATCAATGGCCAATTGCCAGTAGTTTAGCTATTGTAATCTGTTTGTCAGGCCTACAGTCATGTTATTATGTTATTCAGTACTGGAGTCTATTTCTGCTGACTGCCGGCTGCCAGCAGTTCAGCAGTTTGATCCTTACTGGCTAAAGGTTGACTCAGCCTTCGATCCTTCCAAGGTCGGTAAAATGAGGATCCAGATTGTTAGGGGCAATAGGCGGTCTCTGTAAACCTCTTAGAGAGAGTATAAAGCGGTATATGAATCTAAGTGCTATTGTTATTTTGGTAATGTAATTTAACAATTAATTAGGTTAGCTATTGGGCAAGTATCTATTATTGTTTTTCAATCTGCTTTGTTCATTGCTTTTTGTGTGTTTTTTGTAAAGAAAATTAAATTAAAAATATTCCATGAATACATTTAAGAAGTGCTTGAGTTCATGTTTGAAAGCATCTCTGGGAGTAATTTTAATGGAAAATGCTTAAGCAAACAAATATGCAGATTACTTGAACAGTGTGCATATGCTTATTAAATTTATATAGTGTCACTTCTCACATACATGACACTGAGCAGCTAACAATTAAGACAAAATAAAAACAAATAAACATGACTAGTTTAGTCTTGATAGAACTATATCGTAACTGTTTTATTTTGTTTTCTGTCTTGTTTATGCGCTAATCTTGAAACAGTAGAAAGTATTCTATTCTTAAAATTGCTGCAAACTGCTGTAATATTGTCTGAGTGTATATCCATTAAGAAAATGAATCGATCCTATAACAAGCTACTCTTAACAGATTCCCTTGCCTTATTTATCATTGTATTGATAACTTTTTAAAATGGCATGAAAAGTAATGCTTTTTCAAATTGACTATTAAAAACTGCTTTATGATTTCAAATAATTTACCTGCATTTCTCCTACACATGTTCATATCTGCAACTTGTCTCCACAGATTGATGGTAGGATCATAAACTTCAACACTTTTTCTAACTAAAGGACCATCATGTCCTCCAACTGCATAGAGTAAGTTATTTAAAACCCCAACACCTGCAAAGAGAAAATAAAAAAGATTCAGAAATCAGTGAAAAGGATCTATTGTTTTCTCAAATGCCATCAATTTTTTTAAAAGTTAATGAATAATGGAGTGAATTGTTTCAATAAGATTTTGTTAAAAAGCCAGAGATCACATGACACAAATAGTTTTAAATATGAGAACATCATTTGTAAGCTATCCTCCAAGATCTTAAGTATAAAAATCCCAAAATTGCTGTCACATTGTGATGTTTTAATGCAAAATATATTAAATAGACTTAATAATTTTATATATTATGGATAAGAAGTCTGGTGGTATCTTTTCAGCCTAAGAAATGTTATGAAAAGGCTTAAGTTTTCATGAGCTACAAAGTTTATCCCTTGAAATAGAAAAATGCACTGCACATTTTAGCCTTTGGAATGCAAGGACTATGACCTTTATCTCTAAGTTGATATTATAAAACCGCAAGCCACCTTCAAGAGAAAAAAGGGGAGAGGTCTTCCTAATTTATGGTTAAGACAACATAACATTGATGACCAAAGCAGACTTCTGAAGTTAAAAGTGATTCAAAGGCAGAGAGAGGGGGAGGAGGGATTTTTTGTCACAAATATAATTTAAGTTCTGAATGCTTACCAGCTCCACTACGTCGAGTACTCATCTCTGCAACATAGGTCCACTCATTTGAATTATAATTATAGCATTCTACTTTACTAAGGCACTGACGCGATGCACCATCATAGCCACCAACTGCATACAACATACCTGGAAATAGGTTTAGAAGATGTGTATAAAATTTGCACATATTACATAGCTATACACACACAAACATATAGTGACAACCTATCAACTCACTAGATAGCATATTTAAAATATAAATATTTGTTTGGGAAGATTATTTGCATGGTTAATTTTATTTTATTTTTAAAGAGTTGGATTTCCTTTGTAAAATATCTAGGCAAGGAGCAATGAAATTGTATTTCTGTATCACAGCACATGGATACTGTGAAAACGATTTACAGTTCTAATCATCATTCATAATTCTATGGAATTTTAATTTTCATACAGGTTCCAGAGCTTTCATCATTTAGATCAGGGGCATCATAACATATTGTGACTTTTCCCCCCTTCGCTAAACCAAGTGTGGGAATGGCCAACACATGGCGCATCCGGCCTGCAGACTGTGAGTTATAGCCCTGATCTAGATTAAACTGATGTACAACCACAGTGGTGCAGTGGCTAGAATGCAGTTCTGTAGACTACTTCTGCTGCCTGCCGACTGTCTGAAATTTGGTACTTCGAATCTCACCAGACTCAAGGTTGGCTCAGCCTTCCGTTCTTCTGAGGTTGGTAAAATAAGGACCCAGATTGTTGGGGGCAATATGCTGACTTTATAAATTGCTTAGAGAGGGCTGTAAAGCACTCTAAGTGCTATTGCTACCATGCCAGTAGAACCTAGTAAAAGGTTTAGGATAGAAAGATATAGATATGTCTGTCTGTCTGTCTGTGTGTGTGTGTGTGTGTGTGTGTGTGTGTGTGTGTGTGTGTGTG